TGTGAGAAATATCGGCTTCACTTTGCATAGCTTCAAGGCTTGAAATGTTTATCCCTGCAGATTCACTCAGGTTAATAAGCATTTGTTTCAAACTGCTTATTAAGAAGAAGAATCCAACATGTATCCATCATTGGCATGTTGGCAAGAATCACTTTATCTAGATTGGTTTTATGTTACCGTATGTCCTAAAGTAATAGGTATTTTGAATGAGCAGAGAAGGGGAGAATGCAGAACATTCACAGTTAAGTAGAGCCCCACAGAGAGGTTTTCAAAAAAACAAAAACCAAAAAAAAAAAAAAAAAAAAAAAAAAAAAAAGGACAGTGGGAGCCTGAAAGATTGAGAAGGGCATCTGACTCAACAAGATGTGTGTGAAGGAAAACCAGAGGACACAGAGTAATTTTTAATTATGGTACCTGAGACTCATTGTACGATGAAGAAACAAATAGAAAATTGTCTTCCTTCTTTTCTTCCGCCATATTCCTCATATACAGATTCCTCAGAATCATTAAGGACTAACATGATCTCTCCTAGCAGGGTCAGTTTTGAGTAATGTAAAGCATGGGAGCCTTAGAACATCGACAATTGCCGTTGATACGCAGTATCACAGAGCTCCATTCCCAGCTCTGCCATTCAGTGTCTGCGTGGCCCGGAGCAACTGTTCACCTCTCTAAGTCCAAGTTTCCTGTCTGTGAAATGGCGGTGATAATACCCACCTCATCAGGTTATCGTGAAAAAGGAAATGAAATAATTTTAGTACTTATTACAGTGCTTCAAACTACCAAGTGTTCAATAAATGGCTGTTACCACAACTCAGCCCAGTTATGATCAAATAGGCATTTTTTGGACTGGCCTAAAAATGTAACTGTGTATCAGTTGCAGTTGTCTATGTTCCAAGTGACTGGCTTTGAGATAGATAATCTTCACTATGAAAACACTTAAATATTCACTTTGCATTTTCAATTTACTTTTTAAAGGAATTGCTTGTTGTTCCAACTGCCAGTTCTTTTTCTCCAGCTACTCAGCTGCCATCTTCATCTCACAGCTAACAGAAACTCCTCCCTGAAATGAGAGTTTCTTAGGAACAAGAATCATGTCTTTATCAAATAACCATTAATTGAGCATCTATAAGCCAATAATTGGACATAAAAAAGATATATATAATTAGCTCCTTTCCTCGTGGGGCTTAACTTCTACCTGGGAAAAATAATATGCAAATGCAGTTCAAGATTATGACTTATAATAAAGATGTGTACCAAGAACTCTTGGGTATAGTGGAAGAACAGATTTATTTTATTTCATGTGATAAGAACTCTTCGCCAAAACCTAAAATGCAATATAATAAATAAATGGGGAAAAAAAAAAAAAAGAACTCTTCGTAAGAGAGGTGGCATTAGAACTGAGCCAAATGTATATCAAAGTCAATAATGATTCCATCACCTTGGAAGACAGAGATGGAAGGATCACTTGAAGCCAGGAGTTTGAGACCAGCCTGGGAAACACAGCAAGACCCCTGTCTCTACCAAAATAAATAAATAAAAATAAAATTAGCCAGGCATGGTGGTACATCTTTGTAGTCCTTGCTCCTCAGGCGGCTGAGGCAGGGTGATCACTTGACACAGGAGTCTGAGGTTACAGTGAGTTATGAGCATACCACGGCACTCCAGCCTGAGTGACAGAGCAAAACCTTGTATCAAATACTACTAATAATAATGTGTAAAAAGTATGTAGGAACAGAGAGATCTGCGTGGCTGCCACTGCAGGACAGATTCCTAAGTGTGGTATAGCACAGTTGGACCTTAATACCTAGGATAAAGACAGAAGATGAAATGTTATGGCGTGCATCTAGGCATGTATATAATAGTAAGAGATATTATTAATAAATAGTAAACTGGCTGATGGGAAATAACGTTAGAGAGGTGCTACCATGAAACTGTATGTTGCCAAGCCCTGGGAACTGAGCAGGGAAGTTTAGACTTCATGCAATAAGAAAAAAAAAAAAATTGAAGAAGAAGAAGAAAAAAGATAGGATTTCAACATGAATTTGGAAAGAAATTATTTTTTGAAAAAATAAAAAAAAAGAAAAAGATTGAGGCTAAAGATCGAGACTGAAGCATCTTGAATCAGTGTTACTGATGCAGCTATGAGCTGTGGTAGGTCCAGATGTCCAGATGAGTATGTGTTTAGAGATTAACTATAGATATAAATGTGATAGTTTATAAATGTCACCTGGGATGTCTGAAGAATAATATCACTGACAAATATTGCAAAGATAATGTGAAAGATCATGAATCATGTTTACGTAAACAAAATTTAGTGTCATCTTGATGCCAAGTATTTGAAAATACATAATGTTTCATGCATATGTATCGACATAATATGTACACCTTCATTCAGCATCTATTTCCCACACTTACATCTTGTTTCCAAAAATAAACTACCTACTTCTGCTGGGCAGAATCTCATCTCACATTTCTCATGCATTCTATAGAGTCTACCATGTAAAAAACCATAAAGTTGGTACTTAATAAGAAATTATTATTTGGTTAAATGAGGCCAGAAATAGGAGAAAACTAGCCCATCTTAGATGGAATCGATAGTGAATAAAAATTATTTATTCCTAATAATATTGATGGAGTGGGAAAAGTTTAACTGTGCCAAATAATTCTACACAATAAAACTATAGTTCATTTTTTTTTAATTTTTTAGAAAATGGTTTTTAGGAGACCCATTAAAAAAATATGCAGTAGAACAAATCTGATGAACCTGAAACATCAAGGGAAATAGTGAAAAATCATGCTTCTCATCTACTCTGGTGTGTATAGTTTTTTTTCACTTTAAAAATGTGATCTTAAAGTGGGGGTGGGGGAATAAGACAGTAAATCAGCCCAATCTTTCATAGTAGTATCTTTACTTCCCTTAGAAAAAATGACTTTAATTGCACAGGGATAGAAAAAGGATATTTGAATCCCTCTCCCTGACAAGATTCAAGGCTTTCATTTACAGTAAATTCACATTTACAGTAAATTTAGATTTGGGGGTAGAATTTAAAGCTCTTGTCCATCAACATGTAATAAATGAATATGGCACTTGCATAATAGCATTTTTTTGAGCACTGTTAGAAGGAGCAAGGGAGTCTTCCCAGTGCTAAAGAAAAAAGGAAGTTAAAAAATTTAAGGATGTTTCACTTTCAATTAAAAAAAAAAAAAAACAACACCTAGTCGAAATAAGTTGGCAACTCCGTGTTTAGAATCTATGTTGTTTCTCTAATGTTCAGGAATGGTTAAGGCAGGAAGGAGAATCTCAAGGTCACCAGGAATAGTCCTCAGAGTATTCTTACAGGGCTTATCTGTGCTCACATGCCTAATTTTTTCCAAGTGCAAAGAATGGCCACTTGCTTGAGACAGGCCCAGTGCCATCCTTTATTCAAGTTCCTTTATACTCCTCTTTTTAAAGAAGCTGTCAAGTTCTTTTTTTGCAGCTGACAGGAAAGGCCAAATCTCTGGTACAGGAAAGGAGGCGCAAAAAAGAAACTTTTTTGTGTTGATGTTTTACTAAGTGAGCTAAGGAGAATTTTAGAATCATGCAATTTACTCTGGAGGCATTTACTGTACATAGCTATAGTGATGGTAATTTCTTTCATTGTTGAAGTGAAAAGATAACCATCAATCAGTTGTCAATTGGTCAATTGCAGAAGTGATGAAAAGAAACTGGTAGGAACAATCACTTCTGTGGCTACCTAGACCATTTGGAGGCATAAGAAAAGTATGGGAACTGGATTGCATTTTAAAAAGGGATTGGACCAGATTTTCAAGAAGGTTAATAGGCATAACTTCCTTGTAAAGAATAGCTTTGCAGTTATGCATAATCAGGAAATGCAATTTTAAAATGAAAAATTTAAAAGACAATGAAAAGTTTAAAAGTAAAAATAATTATTTAGCCCAGAAAATCTTGAATTTCCATGTGATCTTAATGGAGGAATAAATATAGTTTACTAATAACCCAACACATGTATTTAAAGCAAATTAATGAAAATTACTTTGTACTCGTGCCTTAGGTTCTAATCTTGGGCACTTTGAAATAAATAACTTTCCGAGTATTTATTATGAGAAATAGAACACCCAAGTTAATTGTGAACATTGTCTTTAAGCAAATATTTACAGATAATTTAATTTTCTCGAACATATGGAAGTTCATATAAACGTTAAGATAAGAACAATTTTAAAAATCATTAACTTGCATAAAAGGCAAATAGCACTTAGGGACTTAGTGATGTAAGCAAGATTTCCTTTTAATTTATCCTATTTTCCTAAGAATGGCAATGTTATTGATTTATTCTGAGAGAGTTCCCCACACACAGTGATTTTTTTTTTTTTTTTTTACTGTGGTAGGTAATAAAAAGGATTACAGGCCCCCAGAAGGATGAGATATCATCAGTTTGTAATCCAGCCCATGGTTTCCTAGATACCGTATTGTCTATTCTGTTCCGCTATGTGAAAAATGTTGAATATCAACAATGGGTTTCAGTGCTGTATTGTTGAGTTTTGTATGAACTAATCTAGCTTCCCTAAAAAAAAAAAAAAAAAAAAAAAGAAAAAAAAAAAAAAAAAAAAAAAAAAAAAAAAAAAAAGAAAGGAAAAAAAAAAAGAACCACAGCTTTGGACAAAAGTCTATAGCCAGTGCATTTGAAACTCCCCTTGCACCAGGGCTGACTGTAGCTGGGGGAAGACATTTTACTCATTTGCTCTTTCCTTTAACACGGTCAGCGGGTCCCTCTTCTCAGGTGTAGATCACCTCTTACAATTTTACCTAATTCTGATAAGGAAAGTCCCAGGACTTACCAGCTGGGATAGGCCTCACTTACAGGACAGCTCTGTTCAGTACTTGGAAGGTAAGCTATTTGCACAACTTCTCTGCTGTAGTGTACTGGCCTAGCTCTAAAACTTTGCAGTACATCACTTATTTTTAACTTTCACTTTTTTTCTCTTTTCTTCTTTTGGAGAAAGCAAGCCTGGCAGGTTTCTTCGGAAAAGTGGCCATCCATGGAATGAATGAAATGTTCTCTTTCCATTCCAGTAAGTAATTGACTTGTAACTAAAAATTGAACTGGCTGCTATGTCAACTGCAATGTGAGCTGCTGCTGGCACAGGTGTTGCTTACTCTTTAGCCTGGAAAGAAAAGGGGCTTAAACTGTGATTAAATTTCAAGTCAATTGACCTCAACATGATAGTACATAACTCTCACTTGCCTACCGAATGGCCTGAGTTCTCATTTTGACCCTGATTCTGACATCTGCGTTTTTAATGTTTGTTGTAGCTAAAGCTATGGTTGCTCTTTTGGTTAGAAATAAAGTGGGTAAAGAACAGTTCTAAGTAAATAACAAAGGTCGTCAGCCGAATGAGTCCTTAATACAGTGCTCAAGGTGTTCTATTTTCTTAGTGTGTTGACTCTAAGTTCTTGTAAATTATTATTCAATCTTTTATTTTAAAAAGGATGGATTCCTGGGTAACAATTTTACTAACCACGGATAAACAGTAAATCCAAATCAGTGAATTACAAACAGCAAACGATGTGAGAATTTTGATGTTAAGTGCTTTCAAATGCTTGACTTTGATTATGTAACATATCATAGGCTAAATATGCCTTCACTTTCATTATTTGGAGCCCTAGGAATGAAATAGCAGCACTGTTTTTCTTCCTTACTATAAATACAAAAGCCTACTTAAGAAAGATGACCATATTTGAGTTTGGGAGGCAAACCTTTATCTACCTCCCAATAGCAAAATAAAAATCATCTGAAATTTTGTGACACCTAAAATTACAATTTACGCTTAGGGCTATTCCTCACTTATTTTATGTACAATGGTTGCATGCTAAGGATTGATGTGTAGGAGGAGAGCGGCCACGGGTTGTTGTGTTTTCCTCCTAACTTCCTTTCTAACCTGGGAATTACAAGAACTTGCTGATGATGCTTGCTTAACCCTGCTTTCAGTGCCAGGCTGTGACTAGCTCTCTGTGAAACCATTTCTGACCCTCTGCTTGCAGTGGTGAGCCTGAATTTTTCCCCCTCCTTGCCCATCACTGTCAGTCAATTATAAGATTGAACTGAACCAGAAAATCTGGTACAGTCTGGTAATTAGTACAAAGGGTTTCCAGTCTAGTGTAAAGACAGAGATGCAAGAACCCCAGCAGTCAGAGAAACTGTTTTGATTGGCCATGGACATTGCCTTTTAGTGCTGCTTGATGACTTCCTAAAGATATTGCCTCCTACCCTACAGGTCTTCTCCTTCAAGTACATTATGGGCCTTTTTTAAAAGTCGTGTGTGTGTGTGTGTGTGTGTGTGTGTGTGTGTGCGCGCGTGTATGTGTGTGTTTCTTTTTTTAGATTCAACTTCTCCCATTTTTAGTCAGTCATTTTTGCCTATCAAACAGACACATTTTGACTTGCCCAACAAAGAACCAAGTTATCAACACTCACAGAAACTGACATTTTTAATTCAGGCTTCATTATGTCTTTGAATTATGACAGTGACGTACAAAGACATTTTAAGGGTTTTTCATTCTTTTTTTAAAATCCAGCATTGGGATGTTTATCTTTCTTTAGTATTCATATTTCCCTTTCTACCTTTATTCTCAGTAATATATAATTAGCATTATCAAAACCATCAGCTATTATCCTTTCTGACTTTTGACCTTTATTTTTTAAGGAAGCCTCAAGCTAACATTTTCTAAAATAAGAAAAACCCCCTAAGAGATTTTATTGAAATATTTTAGGATTATTTTAAAACATGAATTCCTTTTAAACATCAACACTACAAGACTAGGCAAGTAATGGGTCTTACAATAAAACAATAGCAACAAAATTAATTTGTTGAAAAATTATTTTGTAAATCTAACTTGCATTTGATGGTAATTGCAATTTTATAGTGTGTATTTCATCATACATTTTAAACCACTACTTTGAGTTCTTTGCTTATTATAAAAGCTAGTTTGGGGTAAATTATTATTTTTTGCAGAAGCAAACATTCTTTTTGATTATAGATTACAATGACTCATTAGTCTTATCAGATATAGTGAAAGTGTTTGGTAACTTGTCAATATAACAAATGCCTACCCCAAAAGATAGATATGTCTGTCTTTTTTTTTTTTTTTTAATTTGCTTTAAGGACAAGTTAAATGTTTGATAGCCTGCACAAAATTGCAAAAGCAGCAGTGGCCAAACGAAAAAAATAAATAAACAGAAAGCAAGAGGTTTTAATCTCCAAGAATGCTGTCTTTAGGACAATCTGTATCACGGTTTTAGCTGTGATGCATGTGTGTTGAAAATCTTCCAAAGGATTCTTTATTTATCCATACCTTAATGTAGCTTTAAATATCTGCTTTATTCTATATATAATCTTGACAAAGTAGTTACATTACCGTGTCTGGTACTGATTTTTACAGCTGACTTTGGTATGAAATTTCAAGAAGGTTAATATTGCTTTGGTAACCCTGTCACAAGTAGTGCATTTTCCCAGTAAACATGTCCTAATGTTAAAGGCTGTTCAAGGAGCAATATTTCTGTTGAAGCAGTTTTCTATTTATTTCTATTGTGTATTATTCATAATATAGTGTAAGGCTTTAAAAAGAACACGCATATTTATGTAATTAACACTTTTTGTTATTAGCAAAACCTTCCCATTATAAACTAAGAGAGCCTAAGAAAGCCATATAAATGGGCAACTTTTCAGGAATAATATTTGCATTCAATTTTAACTTGCCATCAAGGTTTTATGTTAAAATGTATACACAAAGTGACTGGGGGAAGGGTACATTCTGGTGATATTTTTCTTATTTTTTAATCTAAAATATATGTTGAAATTCAAAAGGTGCTCACCACATGTAGTGTAGCAGTGTTCTGTATTCTTTAACAGCTGAATACTGTGTGGGTCACAAGCTTTATAACGAACACAAACATTCTTCTCTATTTTAGTCTTAACTCCTAGAAGCAGGTGTAAGACTTGGAAAGAGCCAAGCGGCCGCCTGCCCCCTGGAGACCAGAGTACCTCTGCTATTATCTGCTGTGTGTATTAGAGTTCCATTAGGATTTACTCGTGAAAATCCCATGCTGGAGGGAAGAGGTGAAAAATTACTGACTGAGGCTCTTCTAGAAAAGGAAAACGGGGTTTGCCCACGGTTGTACACTGAGAGAGTGACAATGTCAATTTTGTCACCCTGTTGTCTCCGGGTTCCAGGCTTACTCTCCTAACCAAACGCAGTCATAGGTCTGTATGTGCAGGCATCCTAAGCTATGTCACTAAAAGCTCACACCAAGAGAGTCACAGCCATATGTTCAAAATCAGGATGCTTCCTGAAGATATAGCATCTGGGTGGTAAATGGAATTTTTTAACATTATAGACCAAACGCAAGCCCTTTATTGGGCAATATCATTAATTCTGGTTGGATTGTCGTCGTCGTTAGGGAAAAGATTGATTCCTGTTACTTCTCAGTAAAGTAATATTTTGGAGGTTTTTAAATAGTATTTCTAACTGTGGTAAAATAAAAATAAAATGAAATTTGCCACTTTCACCATTTTTAACTGCACAGTTCAGTAGTATTAACTTAGTGGTAATTTTTGCAGTAGAAAAAATAATTAGCACTTAAATCCAAAAGAAAGAAAATATTTTTGAAAAACTAAATTAAGATGCTAGTTGTTCAAAACATGTTTCATGGAATGCCATCCCATAAGCTATGCCAGGTAAAAAGATAACACGGTCAAATAATTTATGTCTGTTTCTAAGAACTTCACAATGAAAATCTGTACTTGAGAAACTGGGGAATAGTAACGATCTCTTTGAACCCTGTATAATGTAGAGTACCCCAAACCATTTTCCATAGGTTCCCCCAACCTATTGTGTCAAAAAGTCTATTTTTATTCTTCAGAGCTAATATTTTTAACACATTTTAGGAAATTCTCCTCTAATCAAACCTTTGCAGATAAAAAAAGATCTATAAAGTAATGTTTATACTATTTATGTTAACTGGTTCTGTGTTTACAAATCTTTTATCTTTATCTTATGGGTAGTAAATCCTATTAATTCAATCACTCAACAAACATTTAGGCATAGGACTAGGTGCTGGGAATACAGTAATGAGTGAATCAGCCAGAACCCCTGACCTTACAGAGCTTACAGCCTGGGAAAGAAGTCACTACAAGTGCTCTAATGTGAAAGTCTGAGGAAGGGAAGAAAGAAAAGGAAGCAAGGGAGGGAGGAAAGAACAAATGAGAGAAGGAAGGAAGGTGGGAGGGAGAGAGGGAGGGAGGGAAGGGAAGAGGAAGGAAGGAAGGGAGAGAGGGAGGGAGGGAGGAGAAAGAAAGGAATAAATGAATACCGGGAGCACAAGCAATGTTAGCGGTTTCTGACGCTCACAGCTTATCTGACTGTTTTACGTCGTCGTTGTTTTTCCTCATTCTGAAATGAGAGGAGAGGGAAAGTGGGGAAAAGCCCACCAGTTTGGTGGTCTGGTCTTTGAATAGAGACAGAAATAATATTTTCTTGAAAGCTATGTATGTATCAGCAATTGAGTCTATGCTAGTTGTCTAGCAATTCAAAGATGGGCTTCTATTGCTTAGAAGAGAAGGAGATAGGAAGAGAAGGAGAGGAAGGGAGGAAAGGAGGAAGGAAAAGAGAAGAGAAAACATATTTCCTGGCCTTCCCTACTATCCTGGCATCTTAGCTGTTGGTGTTACCTTCCATATAAGAAGATTCCTTTCAAGTGTCAGCAGGAGACCTTGTTTGATCAAGAGTGTGCATGTGATCATTGTCTTTCTCATAATTGAAAGAGTATCTATCAGTCAGATTCAACTCTTGGTGGTAACCATGGGTCCTACCTCTGTCAGAACGTATTTTCTCTGACTATCCAACCTGCTGTCTCTGAGGCTCTGACCTTCATGCTGTGTAACCTGTCTTCATGGGAGTGGAATGTCTCCTAAGCAAAGGAAAAGGCAGGCCCATGGGCATATCGTGGTTCTCCAGCATCCTTCTCATCCTTAGAGATCCTACACAAAAAAATGAATCATGATCCTGCCAAGAG